AGTATTTCGATTGCATTAAAATTCGTTGAATGACCATCAAAAGTTAGTGATGCGACATCTACGTTAGCCTCAAAACATTTTATCACACAGCTTTATCAGATTTGCTTTTTGCTCTCCTAAGATTCCATTTAACAAAAAATATCCTAATGGAATTTTAAATCTGCGATTAATTCTTATCAACAAAAACACTTAGCTTGAGAAGCCAGTTCCTATATCAACAAATCCAACGTATATTTTTCCCTTCCCAGATTTTTTGGGATCGAAAGGACACTTCAACACCAGATTACAAATTGGTCGGTGTTCACTAACTTGTGACTTTGCTTTTAGTACTTGCAAGGCTACCTTCGTAAATCCCTGTTCACCTTTTATACGTCCGTGCCATTTGGTTAGGGTTTTTGGGTGTGGAAGACAATTATTAAACGTGCATCTAACGTACTGATATATTTTGTTGAGTAACAATTCAAAGTTAAAGAAAACTTTTTCATTACCCGCGTATATTTAATGTTTATTTTTAAATTTTTCCTATTTAAGGCATTAAATATATCAACAGCAGCAGCATTCCATTAAGCGACTTGTATAAGTCAGTATCTTATAGTTTTGGTTTTTTAAATTTTCTAATATTTTCTTTAACGACTTGTTTCTTTAAGTCGCCTCACTTTTTGATTTAAGTTTATTTCTCATTTGTTCCTGTTTTTTTTTCTAGGCTAAAAATACGCTGTCTCAAATTGTGTTTTCCGGGTGTGTCAAAAATTGATTCGCTTTCTTTTTCTATATTTAGTATAGGTGTCGACGACAGGACCGGTGTCGCTGATACTTGTTAAAAAACGAAAGGGTGAGTAACTAAATAAACATATAAGAACATTGAACATTTAACTTTAATTTTCACTTACAGCTCCTAAAGAACAGGGCTGTATCGGATCCACATCAATTGATTCGATGGATGTAGCTGGAACGTGCTGAACGAATAAATGGGTAAGTAACTACATAAACATATAAGAATGTTATTGAACATTTATTTTTTATATTCATTTACAGCTGGTGAAGGTGCAGAAAGAAGAAATAGGTAAAAATACTTACAGCATATATAGTAGTAGGTTCACCCAAATCCATATTCGCTGATTGATTTGGTGTAGCAGTTAGATGCTTCATCATCATCATCATCATCATTACAGCCCTTCACAAGTCTACTGCTGAACATAAGCCTCCCCCAAGTAATGCCACAAAGCACGGTCCTTAGCCACCTGCATCCATCGACTTCCTGCATGTCTTACCAGGTCGTCACTCCATCTAGTGGGGGGTCGCCCTACACTACGCCTACCGGTACGAGGCTACCACTCGAGAAACTTTCTTCCCACACACACTCACACTTTCCCACACACAGTACACATCGGTTATCGGTTCTTCGAGCTATATGGCCGGCCCAATGCCACTTTAGCTTACTAATCCGTTGGGCTATGTCGGTCACTCTGGTTTTACTGCGGATATTCTCATTTCTGAGTCTATCACGCAGAGAAACTCCGAGCATAGCCCTCTCCATAGCTCGCTGAGCGACCTTGAGCATTCTAATACGGCCAGCAGTGAAGGACCACGTCTCAGATCCGTAAGTCATCACTGGCAACACGCACTGGTTGTACACTTTAGTTTTCAGAGATTGAGGTATACCTGACGAGAATATGTGTCATAATTTCCCGAACGCTGCCCAGCCGAGTTGAATCCGTCTATTGACCTCTCTCTGAAAGAAGTTGGACTTACCTAGTCGGACTATTTGTCCCAGGTAAACGTACTCGTCAACAACTTCGAGCATAGTGCTTCCAACAACTACCGGCATAAGTGTGACATGGACATTAAACATGATCTTTGTTTTGTCCATGTTATGACCTATCCGTTGGGAACGTCAAGTTGGAGAGGTCTCGTCTAATGAAATTAACTTTTCTAATGAAATCAATGAAACAAAAATTCAGAATCCCTAAACCTTTCAGCTCGAGTTACGTAACCGTTTTCAGTGCCTAGAAGATTGCAATGCAGTGGACGATATGAATGACAAGCTCGTGGAAACTGTCCATGCGATCGGAGCTAAGTTCTGCAAGACCCACCCCAGAAGAACACAAAAACTCTCCGAACACACTCTTAATCTCATGGCTGTTAGACGGGAGATGAGGCTGCAATCGTCAACAAATTTGACAGCATACAGGCAACAGAACGGACAGACCTCCAAATGCATGTGGCGAGACTTATGCAACTTTAATACTGCTCGTATTAAAGAAGCGATCGAGCGGAAACAGGGCTCCAAAGTCCTTGCCAGAGATCTGTCTGCCAGAAAGAGCCAACTGTCAACGCTGAAGACTGAGTGTAGCAATCGTTTCCGGGACACCTGAGATTTTGAGTGAGATTGAGAGGTTCTATGGGCAGCTGTACACATCATCGTTGGAGCCACACGCAAGTGTGAGTAACGATCTAAGGGCAAGTCTTATCCGACACTATTCCGATGATATCCCGGACATCAGTCTGAGCGAGATTAGAATGGCTCTCCACCACCTTAAAAACGGCAAGGCCCCGGGCGAGGATGAAATTACAGCGGAGCTTCTGAAAGCGGATGGAACACCGGTACTTGAAGTCCTTCAGAAGCTCTTCAATTCCGTCCTCCATGGTGGCGCTACTCCGGAGGCGTGGAGCAGCAGTGCGGTGGTCTTGTTCTTTAAGAAAGGCGACAACGCTCTCTTGAAGAACTACAGACCGATTTCCCTTCTGAGCCGCGTCTACGTGCTGTTTTCGAGAGTTATTACGAATCGTCTCGCACGCAGACTCCACGACTTCTAGCCTCCCGAACAAGCTGGTTTCCGAAAAGGCTTCAGTACCATAGACCACATGCATACCCTTCGGCAAATTGTACAGAAGTGCGAAGAGTACAATCTGTCACTTTGCCTGGCGTATGTAGACTATGAGATTTTGATTCCGTCGAAATTTGGGCGGTGCTACAGTCTCTTCAGCGGTGCCAAGTTGACTGTTAATATATCGAAGTGCTGAAGTGTTTGTACAGTAGGGATGTTATTATATTATGTTATTATTATGTTATTATTATGTTCTTATGTTTATGTAGTTACTCACCCTATCGTTTTTTTAACACGTATCAGCGACACCGGTCCTGTCGTCGATACCTATACTAAATATAGAAAAAGAAAGGGAACCAGAGTACGAAACCTATCCAACTGCAGAGAGATGTAGGACAGGGTGACGTTATAGCCCCGAAACTCTTCACCGCTGCGTTGGAAGACGTTTATTCAAGCTACTGGACTGGAAAGGATACGGTATTAACATCAATATCGAGTACATTACTCACCTTCGATTTGCCGACGATATAGTCCTTATGGCAGAATCGCTGGTAGATGCTTAACATGAAATAAATAATCTATAATGAATCATTTTTAAAAACTTATGACGTTAGGATGTCGGATTGATATTTACGAGACATGGTGAATGTGGTTGATATTCTTATGATAGCCTACTTATTTCACCATTTTGTTCAATATTGTCGTTGCTTGTCGGTGCTACATGAAAAAATATCGACAATAAACGACATTTTTAATTTTATTACTGAATATAATATTAGGTAAACATTGGAAATAACCTTTAAATATCCGTTTCATACCAAACGACGAAGTCCTCTTTTGTGTGATAAAAATCGTCATTTTCAAAATGTGTTGAACAAACTACGCTGCGAACCGTTAAATTCCACGATAGCTCATTCCGGCCAACTCGAATCACTTTTATTCACTTCTCTTTAGTATATTTATTTCGGATGTGAAACTTTAAGAATATAGGTTTTTGAAGTTTTTTTTTTAATAGGAGAAGGGGCAAACGAGTGATGATAAAAAAGAAAATGTCGTCTTTATGCACATGTGGCGGATAATGAATTAAACACATATTTACAATTAATATTTTATTTTAATATACAGAAAAGTAGAAGGAAATACGAAATATGAAAGATAGTCAAGATACGGTAAATGAGCAAGAAGTACGAAATTGTAAACGTTAGCACTGTAAAGGTGGGTACAGATTGGTGCAATGCAACATGTAATGTAATATTCTGCCTTACATTGCATGTTCCCTGCTGCCTTGGACGTGTGCATTACGCGCATTGACTACGAATCAGAACGAGAACATCTGTTCCCGCATTTCGTTTCAAACACTAGCCCTCGTCACACGTGTTCTTTCTTTGCCCACATCACTCTACTTAAGTCGATATACTTATGAATCATGGAGTCTGAAGACAGCCTTCTTGCTCTGGCGATTATCAGTGCTTCATTGTTAATCATTCATCAACTTTTAAAAAAACGCCAAAGACCCCGACGTTGGTGGCGCACAGAATTATATAAACGGAGAGAAGGCAGAGAACTGCTTACAGATATGAATTTCCAGCATATAAGTGGCCAATACAAAAGTTTTACGAGGACGACGCCAACAGACTTTGAAAATTTACTCGCGATAGTCGCACTAAGAATAAGTCGAAAATAATCAAATTTAAGAGCTCCAATTTCAGCCCAAGATAGACTAGCGATTACTCTTCGATTTTTAAGCTCCGGGGACTCTTACACAAGTCTACAGTATACATTTAGAATATCTAAACAATCTATAAGTGGAATTGTTCCTGAAGTGTGCTCTGCTATAATTGAAGAATTAGAAGAAAACATTAAGGTACGTATAATCTAAATCTTTATTTTTCTTCGTTAACTAAATTAAATCAGTAAAATCATCTATAGAAGAGTGCTATGAGTCTTGTGAAGAGACCGGCAAAGGCTGCTGGTTGATTGCGTAGTTAGCAGCGTCTACATTTTCTGCTGAGGTATAACCGTAGGTTACTGAAGTTGAGGGACGATTGGAGTATGGTTCTGTATATGCATTTGGTTGATGTTGCCAAGATTCATAATATCCCCTGTCGGCTTTCATAATAATTTCAAATATTGCGTGTTCAACCGAAGTCCTAGTCTGAGAGGAATAGTTACTCATTTAGCTCCTATAAACGAAACAAAACTTTTTGTGAAGTCAGGAATGCTTGATGAACTGTCCAATTTCTGTGCAGTTGTTTTCAATATCCCCACTACATCGGTAAGAACATTGTTTTCGTCTCTTCTGGATCGTTTCGCTTCCTGTAGACCATGCTCATTTGGTGGTGCTGGAGGGGTGAACTCATGTTGCGTGGCTTCGGTGGCGTTGTTTTTGGAGACTGAGCGTTGAATGGACTCCTGGAAATAATTATAATGATTTAAGTATTTTTAAGGTACCCACGACTGCCAACGCCTGGTTGAAGATAAGCAAGGAGTTTGAAGACCGGTGGAACTTCCCATACTGTATAGGGGCATTGGACGGGAAGCACGTTTTACGTCAAGCCCCTATTAAAAGCGGAACCGAGTTTTATAATTATAAACAAAATTTTAGCATCGTGTTGTTTGCTCTAGTTGATGCAGACTATAATTTTCTATTCGTAGACGTAGGTTGTCAAGGGAGGATTTCTGATGGCGGAGTTTTCAAAGGTACCCAATTATATGATAAGATAGAGAATCGAACATTAGACTTGCCAGAGTCACGTCCCCTATCCGATAGAAATGTTTCTATACCATATTTTTTTTAGTCGATAGTGCGTTTGCTTTAAGTGAATACTTGATGAAGCCATATGCTGGGATACTTCCAAAGGGTTCATCGAAGAGAATATTTAATTATAGATTAAGCAGAGCTAGACGGATTGTTGAAAACGTATTTGGCAATGTATCGTCTGTGTTCAGAGTTTTAAGAAAACCAATGCTTTTACAACCCGATAAAGCTGAATTGGTAGTTATGGCAATCACTCTTTTACACAATTATTTAAAACGTCACTCTACAAACGTGTACATGATTCCAGGGTTAGTTGATAAGGAGGAAGATGGAAATTTAAATGAAGGTACGTGGAAGCAAAATAATAATAACATCACATCAATACTGCCTGTAAGAAATATCCCTAAACGATCACCTGCGCATCTTAATGCTATCAGAGACAAATTAGCTGATTATTTTATGAATGAAGGAAAGGTTTCTTGGCAAGACAGATGCTCGTAGTTTAAATCTTACCGTATTTTTTCTGTTTCTTGGTGTGTTTCTATCGTCTAAGAACTTTAAAGCATTGTAGGCAAACCATCTACTTGTGTATGTGTCCGAAGTACCTGCAATAAAACACACATACATTAATACACTTTTATTTATTTACTAGCTTTACTTTAATTATTGACCTATAGTTAGTTACTGCACATAATTCTTTTAATAATAAACTATGTTATTTAATGCATAATAACAATACTATTCTAGTTCCTACAAAACGTCGTCAATATTGAATTTAAGCAAATAAATTAAAAATAAATCCCTTGGCACCCACGTTTATCTATCAACTATTTATTATTTAATCGACTTAAAACATCCTGTATAAATTGAATATACATATGTTTTTATTCGCTAGGTAAATAGGTATAAATAGTTTATGCAAAAAAATTTTTTTAGATTTATAAACTCCATTGTACCTTTTTTGTAATTTGATTTTATTATCTACTTAGATAATAAAATCTACCTACCTTACTTACCTTAATTATGTACCTTAATTTTTTAATGACTTAAATTGTAATAAATACCTATATAAAAACAAATAAAATGCGTTATTCTTACTTTTTCCAGTCCCCTTGGATTTTTTTTCCTTTCCTTTTTCACGGCGGTAAGAAGAGAGAAGACTTGTCATTTTGTTATTGCACTTTTCTGCTGTTATTTTCAATACATTTCCGATTTCGCCCCACGCATCTTTCTTTAAATTTTGTTTATAAAAGTTTTCATTTTGAGGGTTCTATTATACGGGACCGTGGATAGAGCTTTTTAAAAAAAACTATTTAATACACGACACATTATAATTCAATTAAATTCACAATAAGAAATTAATACACTTATAATAACTAGGACTTAGAGATTTTGTAAGGATATAGTAACGACTTAGTAACGATGACTGAGACTTGGAGATTGATTGAGAAGGAATGTAGACTTTTTGTAGACCGACTGAAGACTCTTTGAAGACTCACTGTAGACTAACTGGCGTTCGTCGGGAAATCGGTTATATAGGCTTTATGTCGCTGACGCAGTAGCGTGAAAGAGATGTGTTAACCGATCTCCTAACATTGATGGGGTATAACAGCCCCCCGCGGAAAACTGAAGATCGGGAAAATAACCGAACTCAGAAATAATTTATGCAATTTCCCGCAATCGAGGTGCTGGGATTTGTGAATTTTCGTGTTGGGAAGTTGAAAGATTTTTGTCATCGTTACGAGCCGGAGTTGTTACATTAATATTAAATCTATTCTTAAATTTAGTCATTACAAATTGGTAAAGTTTAAAAGTTAAAAATATAATTATAATTATTAATAAGACAGAGGTTACAGTTATATGATGGGTCCCGTATTTTACTGCCAGAGGTTTATTGATTATGTTGTTAAGTTTGGAAAATGTTTCTAAATTTTGTTTGTCACTGGTAAAATAGTCTAGGTCTAAATTCTGCAGTAAAATAGGAGATGTATATTCCTTAATACTACGAGTATAAGATATATTTAGTTTACAACAAGAGTCATTGATTATATTGAAATCTAAACTAGGCGTAGGAATATTAATATTTAAAGTGTTTTCAGATGACACGAGCCTTGTGCTCTTTGTATACACTGTGCATTGTGCGGGGATATTTAAAATACCTGTGCCGAGTATAATCGGTTCTCTTAACTCTGAGATACCACAGTCGACGGTTATCTTATTCGGGCGAGATTGCACAAAAATCCACCGATTATTCACTAGTGGTTTCCAAATGTCCATTTCACTGAATAGTGTTTTAGTTTTGCACTGAATGGGTATATCACTGAGTGTTTTGGTGAGTAGTTCGCTTTCACATATAGGGTTGCCACTTGTTAATGATATGGACTGGATTTTACACAGGAGGAACTCAGAGCGTATAGACTTACAATTATTTAAACTATCAAAATTACAGTAACTTAATTTATCATTAGATATACCGATGTAGGGAGTTGAAGGTAGGATTAGGCTATAGATGTTTGGGTTAGTTGAATTATGAGGAATAGGCAGGGCTATGCTATGGTATAGGTTGAATTCTTCGTCTGTTGTGAGAGGAATTTGTAGGATGAAAACGATTTTATTATTAAGGAAATAGCAGGAAATATCGGAGGTACTTAAAATTACATGTATGTTGTTTATACTTAAAGCTATAGGTATCCCTGCGTCTCTAGGTAGGTGCCTATCGTTATCAATAAGTTCTTTATACAACTGTGACGGGGACAAAACACTGGGGTGTAGGATGTTTTGAATAATAGGAATGATAAGGCGAGTAGTGAAGCTTCGAGGTTACTAAATATTAAATGGGCCTTTGATTCGATTAATAACTTGTTTGTATTATTAAGTATTCCGTTTAATGCATTATTTAATATTTCTTCATTGTATTTTATTTTATTTATAGTTTTATTAAATGCGTCAAATGAAGTAGTCGTTATTAAGATGTTCTCCTTCATGAGCCGAGCTAATTCCTTTTCGTCATTTTGGACTAAAGTTATGGCGGAGTCGTATTTTATGGCATATTCTTCGTCCATAGTGCCAAAGATGTGTTTGAATACGGTACCCACTGCGCTGAACCATGCAGAACGTTTATTACGTTTAGATATTAGATGGGAAATCGAATTATATTCCCGTTTGATATCATTAAAACGTGTTGTTAATTGGGACAAGGTGTTATCGCAATAGAGATTGTTTGATTGTTGACATAAAAGTTTTACTGTATTTAGAACATCGTTAAGGTTAGTCACGTGGGAATCGATATACGAAATGTCTATGTGGCTAACAACATCTAGTTTACCTCTTATTATTTTTAGTTTCCCTATTTTATCAAAGTAGATGCCGGAACTAGAGGGAAGCGGCTGAACCGTTTCCGGTTGCGCTTGTGTTGAGACACTGAAACGATATATAAATAAGGTGTAAATAAAAGTTATTTCGTAATAGTGAATAAAAAAATATTTGTTTATAAATTAATATAGATTACGAGTATCTTATAATTTAAATGACTAATGTATGTATATTTACGTATTAATTTGTCCCAGACACTTCGGCGGGTTTGAATTCGTCGAAGTGATGAGTTACGTGACGTCTGTTGATTAAAAGTGAGGCCGTATGGTTGTTATGGACACGGATTATTTTGAAGGGCCCTTTCAAGACAGGTGAAAGTGCTTTTCTCTGTCTTAAATGGTTTTTTAGGTAGACATAGTCACCAGGTTTATATTGAGGAGGAGTCCTGGTGTGAGAGTCATAATATGACTTAGAAGACTCTTTGGATTTCAAAATGTTTTCTACAGCTTTCTCCCGTGTGTATTTAAATTTGTGTCGTAAAATTTTAATGTAGTCGGAATAAGCTGTTCCGGAGCTCTTCTCGTATATTGAATTTGGAATATAGGGCTTTTGTCCAAAGATTAACTCATAAGGGGTGAATTTTGTAGTAGTGTGTGGAGTGGCGTTGTAGGTAAGTATACCGGTATAGACGTAGGTGGGCCAATTATTTTCGTTTTTATTGACGAATGATTTTAGATACTCTTTAAGAGTGGAATGGCTACGTTCTAAAGCTCCTTGAGTCTGTGGATGATAAGGGGAGGACCATAACTGTTTAATTTTTAGGAATTGACATGTAGTTTTGAAAAGATCGGCAGTGAAATTTGTCCCTTGGTCCGTGAGGATTGATTTCGGTATTCCAAATAAGGAGCTGAAATGAATGAGGCAATCACTGGTTTCTTCGGCTGTCGTGCTGCGAATAGGGTATGCTACGGAGTATTTTGTTAAATCGTCTTGTAAGGTGAGTATGAATCGGAGCTTAGCGGGTCCGGATTCGGGTAGAGGTCCTACGATATCCAGAGCTACACGTTGGAAGGGAGCAGTGGATGTGGTAGTAATTTCCATAGGAGATTTGTTTATTTTCCTGAGGGCTTTATTTTCTTGGCAGGCTTTACACTTCTTGACATAGTCTTCTATGTCACTTCTCATTCCCTTCCAGTAGTACTGGTCTTGGATTCTGTTATACATGCGGGTTGAGCCTAAGTGTCCCGCTATTGGAATATCGTGGTTATCTCGGAGGATTTTGGGTCTCTCACTTAAGGTGGGGTATATTATTTTGTTTTGGTAAATATGAATGCAGATGTTGGAGGCATGGAATAGGTGGGTGAGTATATTATATATTTTAGAATGGGAAAGTCTGTCGAATGGATTTCGAAAATCGGAGATTGCAATATCTGTTATATCTTTTGCTTGAAGAATTTCGTTTTTAATTTGTTTTAGTGTTTCATATATCGCAGGATATAGTGTTTCATCGAAGTAATGGACTTTCGTGAACATGAAGTATATTGTTTTATCTGATTGTGTTAGTTTTTGGAACGAAAATAATTCTCTTTCAGCTTTTAAGATTTCGTTTTTATTGTCTAAATTTGAAAGGATTTCGGAGATGTAAGGATTTGATTCACCGCGATCAATAGATGTAGGGATTATAATTGTTTTGTATGGTGATTTTAGCAAGTTTTCGTTGTGTTCTATCAGGCAGGTGTTTGGTGTAAATTCTTTATTAGAGATGGATTTTAAAAATTGGGAGTAATTATCGTTTTGTGTCCTGTTTGTATTTTCAGTTTCTGTTTCAGGTGTGGGAACATTTGGAGATATTAAATTGGGTTGGTCTGGTGAGACAGGCGGTATTTTTGGTATAGGCGAGTGACGGAAAGGAGTGGAGAGTTGATTCGCAGGGATTGGTAGGTTTTCAGATGGGGGTGAAGGCAAATTAAGCGAATCGGTGTTAATATTGAGGTCATTATCATAGGGGCCTAAGTCTTGGAGACCGAAATCGTCGAAATCAAACATTTGATCGGTTTGTAGAGGGTTGAGGATCTAGTGAGTTAGAAGGATTAGCGTTATTCGTTGGCTCTAGGTCGGGGTTATTGGATAATGGGAATTCAAGATCGTCGAGGAGGTCAGTTAAGGGTATTTCATTGCTATTGGGATTAGGAATGGAGGGAAGTTGTCTTTCTAATGAAAAAATAATTCTCTTCGGGTCTTATGTGATCAAAAGAAGGAGGTGAACAATTGTCTGTTTGTGTGTTAGGGACTTGAGACTCTGGATATTGAATGGGATTTACAGGAAATCTGGAGAGGGGGTCAGCGTTGGTGTTGATTTTCCCTTTTCTATGAACGATAATGTAGTCAAATTCTTCAAGTTTGAGTCTCCATCGAATTAATCTGGACCCTGCGTCTTTGCAACTGAATAGCCATTGTAGAGGCTTATGGTCCGTGACTATTGTAAAAGTGCGTCCATAGAGGTAAGGGCGAAAGGCTTTTGTGCCGAATACAATGGCGAGACACTCTTTCTCAGTCACACTATAGTTGCACTCCGCTTTGTTCAAGGTGCGGGAAGCAAAAGCTATGGGGCGGTCCTTTCCTATTGGCCCCTGGGATAGTGTTGCTGAAATAGCGAAATTGGAAGCGTCGCAAGTTAATATAAACGGTTTAGAGAAGTCGGGACTTGCTAAAACCGGTGAAGTCATAAGTTTTTGTTTGAGTGCTTCGAATGCCAATTGCTGTTCGTTCTTCCAGCTGAAGGGAGTATCCTTTTTAAAGAGTAAGGTAAGGGGTTTGGCTAATTTGGAAAAGTCAGGGATGAATCGTCTGTAATAG